AATACAAGCACTCGAGTTAAACAACAACTTTGCAGCCTTGCATAACAAATAACTATTGTGACGTTGGAACATACAGAATCATCTACTGTATATTTTGTCGCTCATGCTCGTAGAATTTTGTAGCGTGGATAATTTAACTATAGAATCTATTTTTGTCTTGTATCGAGTGTACCAAATTGATACATATTAATGTATTGTTTGTAAATGAACATGCTGAAAATCTTTAACTACTGAAATACCTACGTAAGTAATGTCAGGTGGGAAAAAAATACGCAGTAGTAGAGGTGACGTGAATCTTGGAATTCCTTAAGGATCTTCACTAGGAAATACCCTCTTCCTGACATTTATTAATGACCTACCGTCTCATGTCACTGATTGCTTATTGGTTTTGTTCGCTGATGATACCACTGTAATTTTGTGCGCCCGAACTTACGACGAACTCAATATAAAAGTAGGAAATGTCAATGAGTCTGATAAAATGGTTCACTTCCAATGGTCTTATGCTGAATGCTGCTCAATCTAGTTTAATATTGATCTCTGGTAGATCAATACCGAGGCCAACATGTTTGGATAGTCCAATGTCCATAACTGACCACAGTAAGTTCTTAGGATTCATTCTGGATGAAAATTTAAAGTGGAAGCGTCATATAAATTCTATGTGTGGTAGACTAAGTAGTGCAACTTTTGCACTAAAAAAATTAAAACCTGTCGTTACAAATTCCATTCTACGACATTTCGCATATTTCCACTCCATAATGTCGTATGGTACCATTCTACGGGTTGACTCCACTGATTCTGACAGGGTTTATGATATACATAAGGGTATTCATGATTCGAGCAATGAGGATACTTGCCGGAGTAACACGAAGAGTCTCTTGTAGGGACTTATTTGTGAGACACAGGATAATGACCATGTATTCGTTGTATTTATATGGAATAATCACATTCATACGAAAAAACTTACACAACTTTGAAAGGCATGAAAGCTGTTATAACACTCGCTCCACAGGACGACTAAGGGCCGTATTCTAGAATTGTACTCAATGTTCAAGTCAGGACTTGAGCAGACTTGAGTATGATTTCAAGCACTGGAAATACGACCCTAATGGCAAGGACTTGAGTATGATTTCTAGTGCTTACTGCAATACTCAAGTCCTGACTTGAGCATTGAGTAGAGTTCTGGAATACGACCATGAGAGTCGTACCGCGACGGTTAGCACTCACTGAAAAAAACCCGCGCGTAATCGGCCCGGCTTATTATGAGCACCTACCCGTTGACTTAATCGAAGATTAAAACGCGAAATTATACGAATCTCGAACTAAAATACCCGTATCTGCCCGTTTTAAGGAATTCCGAGTCAATCCAAGTACGCCGCCTCAAATTGCCTATCCTCTTTGTGGTTTACAGAAACATAATTAAACTGCATGTTTAGGCTGATGGCTTTGCCAAAGCCGTAATAAAAAAAATATTATTTAATATGTTCCTACATTATTTCACATAACTACATTAACTATGTTAAAATTACGTAGTACAAAACTTGTATTGGATATTTGTAATTTTTTGAAATGTAACATTTATTACTATTTGTAACGATTCTTGTAATACAATATATTGTATATAATAATGTAAAGTTTACAAGATAATAAATAAGTCTAAATCTACGTTTTGATCATATTCTTTTACATCGTATGTAACACAATATGTTTTATGACAAATAAAAAAAAATGTTGACTTTGAGATTAAACTAAGAAACTTTTACTTACACGTTGTTTTTTTTAAATAAAGAACTGAGCCCTTAGTAATGTCGCTATGATTGCTGGCTTGAAATTAATATACCTATACCCTTTGTACCCATACTAATGTTTCTATCAAATGATAACACTGTGAACACACAGATGTACAGAAGAGTACAATTTACTGTTTATGATATCATGAGAGTAGGGTAGACTGGGTACGGTTGAAACAAGTTCGCTTGTGCGTCTGTAGTATTGCCATTTATAAGCCGATCGTTGATAAGTTGACAAGAGCGTGTTTCTATCTATCGATGGACAGCGATATTTTAGCACCCGGTGTGTTATTTTTAGTATTAGATCAAATTTAAACAAAAAGTTCAATTTGTTTCAATCGTCCCCATACCAGTTGAAACAGTGAGTGGGGTCGGTTGAAACGCAAACAAATAATACAAAGTATAATATTATACCACGCTTATTAATTATTATAGCGCCGTTTTCCGTCTCCTATGTATTACAGTTACTATTAAATTAACTATATTTTAATCAGTCTTTTCACTCACAGAAAACAAACAACAAGGCAGTACCACTCCCTCTTCTGATGATTCCATTCCTGTTATGTAGTGAGTGCTGTTTTTCCGTTTGTGATATTTCTATTAAGTACTTTTTCTCCGTCAAATTTTTCCTAATTCTCCGAAAATGTCCGTTGCAATCTGTTTTCATGTCTCTGTCCCTCTATCTGTCTCTTTCTTATCACTTATTTCTCTGGAGTATCAGTGTTAATTGTAGACTTTCTGGTTTTCAGCCTTCTGTTTGTGTTTTCCGGGAAGCTTCCGGTAATGATCGTACAGCTTTCGGCGTACTTACAAAAGGAGCACCAGAAGGAATTGTTTGAGGACGTGTAGAAGGGTTAAAGCGGAGTTTAATGAATACTGCTGCTATGAAGTCTGGATGGTGTATTCAAAGTTTTCGGACCTTCAAATAATGTTTTCCTGTTCAGTTCTCGGGACTGGTAAACTCTTTCGAATATTGATAGCCTGCTGCTGAGCCAGTGGTTCATTAATTCAGAGAGAAGGCGATAGTTGAGTAGTTTCATCATCAGATGTGCCAGTATTCCTTATAGGAACAGCCTCTGTTGTATTTTCGGGAATTTGGTCTATCTGACGCCAGATGCTTGATGCTTCTTCCTTTCATATATTTTGGAGTGAACAGTGGTTCGCTCAATGCCTATCTGCAACGAACAACGAATCTGCGGCAACATGCAACGAATCTCGTGCCTTTACTTCGAAGGCATCTTTATACCTCGTTTCGTCGAATTGTAGCCTCGAAGTCTTTCGAAGGCACGTAGAAAACAAGAAAATTAAATAAATATGTTCTTTCAACCATACCCACAAAAATGTTTCAACGTCCCTAACCTTTCTTTTAGGCACAAAGCAGTTTCTAGTTTGGGTTGCAATAATGACACATTAAAACTAATCATACTACCCTATTCTACAAGCCTCATTTCAAACTCAAAAATATACTCAATAGTCAGACTTCAATAATAATCACGATAACTGGAGAAATCTCCTAAGAAAAACACTTTTGATTTTCAAAACACAATATATAATAACAGCTTCCTATAAACAACTGCAACAAGGGTTGAGCGATGCAACTATGTGATTCGTGTTCGGACTTATTGTCCGCTTCTTTCGCCCCTTGGACCCTTTACTTTATCTCATATGGTTCGAAAGATATTTGCTCTGTTTTAACCGTCCTTTGTTTCAACCGTACCCAGTCTATCCTACTTCATATTATAATTTGAAATTGATTAAAAAATAACAAAGATGCTCGTACAGTCGTGTCATAATTTCTGTGATATTCGTCGTCGAACTACTAAAAATGTCAAAGAATGCGTCTTATAAAGAACTTATCTACTAATACACACAATATGAACATAGATGGAGATTATGTTCTTGCAAATTTACGATATGTGATGAGGCGTCGTGCTACATATCACGCATCTAATTGATGATATGATATCACTACGAAATTGATCTTTTATTTACATCTCGTCGTGCCCAGCAGTGGATCGTATAAATGGATTGATGATGACGATGATTTATTAATCCTGTTAAGTATTCACAATTTTGTTGAAAGTTTTATGTAATTTCACCGGATTTTTCGATTTCAATTTCGCATCGGCACGTGTTTAGTAGGTATACTACACGTGACTGTTATCTTAATTTTAAAATATCAATACTGACACTCCCTTTGAATCAAGACTCATACCACCAATTTTCTTCCTCCTTTCATTATTGCATGACGTTCCTGGATTTAAGAACACGAGTAAAACTTGTGCAGGTAATTCAGGGAGGGATTTGACATTTAGCTCTTCCGTGGCAATATACCTATACAATTACTTTTTCATTTACTTATCACGAATTATTTATGTAGAAATTAAATTAGCAGTAGTTCTTTAATAGTTTTAATTTTAATGGAAAATAACAATAATTTGCATTTTATGGAAGCAAATATACAAGTTGAAAGAAAAATATGACAAATCGTCGTAATAGTCTGTGGCGCCTATTAATTTGTAATGAAAATTTCCGGAGAAAAAATATAATTGAGATATTATCCACTATTACGTTTACGTATTATTTGAACTTTAGGAAATACCAAAAAATTACCCCATTCAAAACTTGTAAAATCCTTACGAATACTGTTTACAATACTATAAAATTACACACTACAACATGTTTACAATGGAAGTGTTATTAACACACAGGCTTTGGAAATATTACTCGTTTAGTAACATCATCATTTAAAATCTGGTTTTTTAAATTATTTTTTAGCTGTATTCCATGTGATTTTGACACAAAATGGTTCTCCTTGGTTATTAGACTTATTAGTTCCTTACCGCAGTGTGTCTTTGTATTCTTTTCCCGGTAATGAATAGGCGATTAACACACTGCACGGAGCTGCGTTTTTTAACGTTGTACTGAAGTACCTCCGTTTGCATGGAAAACATGTGACGTCGAATACACTGACAACGCTTCTCCGCGCGGAAACCGCAGGGTATGGCACACTGCGCTCCGCACTACCACGCAGATTTTAATCAATTTGTGTCTATTGCATTAATTGTCGTTCGGATTTTCCCTAACAAATAATCAAAGGATTCAGTTGACATACGTGTGTAATTGAAAAATTAATCTTCATATTTTCCTAAATCTTTGAAATGAAGTTGAATGTTATCTTCGATGTCTTTTTATTTGAGTAAACAAAAACCAAATCGACAGTATAACTGCAGGGTCCTGAATGAGTTCTGTATTATTAACCATTCTTGTCAAAGTAGGATCTCAGCTACATGTATGTACAATCACTACTGCGATCAACTACAAAGCGAGTACTTTAAGTGGCGCGGGGCCGCTGGATCGCTGCCCCCGCGCAGATTAAACCGCGCGTTTACGCAGACAGATACAGTGTATTAATCGCCTAACTGTTGAAGCCTGGTTTTTTAAAATAATTATTTAGTTGTATTTTGATGTGAATTTAATATAAAAACCTTGGTTATTAGTTCCTTATCACATTATGTACGAGTTTATATTCTTTAAGAAGTAATTAATAAAATTATTAATTTTATTTACAGTTTTCTTATTTTTACATTGAAATAAAAATTTACAACATAAATGTTCTTACTATACTACGTACTGTACCCGTAGATAATATGGTTGCAGATTTACCTTAATATCGGTTTCAGTAATTAAAAAACTTAACTTTCATAACATTATTTAATTATTTGTTCTAAAAATAAATATCTTAGTCTATATTATCTTTAAGCTAATTAACTATTTACAAAAATTTCCCACTTGATTCGGAATACATACATTTAGGTGAGCAATTAACTTTATAAAAAGTTAAAACCGAAGTGGTCGCCGATTTTCACTTACTTCCAAAAAATAACGTGCTGTTGGAAGACTGAACGATACGAGTTTTAAAGTTGTAACTATCATTAGTCGGTAGGACACATCAATGTTTAGTAGAGTATTCTATATATTTTCAGTAAATGGTTTATCCGAAGATGTTGGAGACGAGGCTGTTGAAGGAGTTAGCGATGGATGAGAAAAAGCCAGACTGCGGCGGCGGGGCTAATGGTTGGCGTGGCGGTAGCGGCACAGGCCGGTAGTACGGACCTCCGTCGATACGCTGCATAATACATGCACAAAGTGTTTAGTATGTATAATTAGCTTAATACTATTAGTAATGTAATAAAATTTGCTGTAAACAAGGGCAAACTCGTACTCAACAATCAACATGCTCAATTGTTATGGTTCTGTACTTAAAAATGTAGTTTTAGGATCGTATTCTAGAACTCTACTCAATGCTCAAGTCAGGATTTGAGTATGGTTTAAAGCACTCGAAAACATACTCAAGTCCCTGCTATTAGGGTCGTATTTCTCGTGCTTGTGTTTCCATTGCAATCCTGACTTGAGCATAGAGTATAGTTTTGGAATACGACCCTTAAATTACTTTGCAATTTTGGCAAAGTTAGAACTATTCTATTTTAGTAATGTGTAAAGGTAATGTATGTACATGTGCAATAGATGAAATTCTTACCTTTAACCAACAATCAGTATTTTAGTAGTGCAACTTTGATAAGTGAAAAACTTAAAACTTTATCATGCCTTTTTATCTAGAAGAGTTTTGGTTACAATTTAAAACGTTAATTAAGGCAACATTTTAACAGTCCTTAAAATCATTGATAGGGATTCTATTCTAAAAAAATTACATTTGTACTTTAGTGGAACTTTGAACACATTATGCTTGATATAATGATAATTAATTTATGAATAGCCAGTGTAAGTACTTTATAATTTGAGTGGTTAATCCCCACGCCACGCTTAAAAACGTGTGGTGTGGAATGTGAGAATTTGGGAGGTTGTAACATGTGTACATGATTAGTTGGGTGGGAAAATAATGTCTCCTTGGTTGTGGTTGCCGGGCGCTGTTGTAGTGGTGGTGACAGTTGTCCGCCGGTGAGTTGGCTTCCGAGTAGTCCGCGGCGGCACGTAGCCCTAGAGAGCCATTAACCAAAATCACCACACCACCGTCATAGCATTAAGTTAGGTATAATCACATTTTTATTGAACATTAGTTTGAAAAATCGAAGTATACATCAGATAACTTTTTGATTACCAGCCTAATTTTGACATTATGATCTTCGGGTTAAAAAAATAATACATGTTTTTTTAATAACATGCTCAATACTAAATTATTGGGAAAGAGTACCACAAAATGATCTGTACGTTTTTGCGCTTGCCCCTGCATACACACATAACTTTGCAAATTTTCTAGTCATACTTTCATAGGCTTAGGGACCGTCAAATTGCAGAGGCTGGCGATGTTCTACAAGAATGTAATCCGTTATGAACTGAATAATACTTACTTTTAATATGTATTGACTGCCGTCGATTCGTTGTGCTGCATATGGCTTACGCGCTCTAAGAATTCGTTAAAAAATCGATTTTCTTCGATGTCCGCTGGTAGTCTCGGTCTCAGGCTACTACTTGAGCGTGTGAAGTAAAGGTATGTACGACAGTACGACGCGGAACATTTGCGTCGTGGTTCGTGCAGTCTGAGCTTGGTCTAAACTTTTACCACTTGCACAATCACATTGCGGTGTTTATTGTTAAAGACTTTATTGACGCGAACGAGAGCAAGAAAATGTGAGCTATCGAAGTATGATACTGCGCTTGCGTCTGATCTGCAGCTTTGACACAAGGTTGGCTGCATCTTGCAGCCAACCTCGCGTGTCGCCCCTTTCTTTCATCTAAAGTAGCATCTACAAAAATATTATTTACGGACAATTCATTCGGAAAATAATATTTTATGGTGCAAATTTGACCCTATCGATTGTTTTTTTTTCAAAAATAGATTGTGAATAGTACCCATTGCCTATAGAAAAAATTTGGCTGATAGTTAAAAAGTCACATATTTATCGCACACTGAGAATGATAATGTCTATATACAAAATTCCATTTTTTATTTTATTTTTATGTCATCTTGGATTTGAGAGTATGAACTTTTTTTATTTATTAGTGTCAATAAACAGCCATACATGAAATAGTAATTATTTACATATATTCCCATTGACTTAATGTATATTCCACTTAAAAATAGATGTATAATGTCAGCAGTTTAATAACTTATAATAAGTAAGACGGCTATAACATGGTATTTTGTGGAATTATTTGTAATGCTAACATTCTTGTTTTATATGTTACTAGAATTTTAGTAGATAGTACTTAATAAGTGGATGCCTTACTTTCTCAAACACGTATCTTACAAAGAGTGATTATTCAGGAGATGGCAAAACTTTGTATTTATTTTATCTTTGTATTTATTATTTATAATTTCTTATCAAGGATGTTAATTTGGATGCATTACTTTAAGAATAGGCCAGTGTGTGAATATGAAGGAAATGTGATGTGAAATCAGGCTGTAAAATTTGTATATATAATGCATTTTTGCATTTTAGTTACTTTGTGCTTTAAGATAGTGTTTGAGAAAGTAAGGCGACGAAATGCCATTTACAATTTGTAGTGCCAGTGTTTTTTAATTTACTAAGAGTGGTGTCAAAAGATCAATATTAGAAAAAATATTATTGTACATGTTGGTGAAACGGTAATCGCGTATATAATTTAGTAAGCGGTGGGGGGACAAATAGAGGACGTTTGCGAGAAGACCGCATGGGAAGACGTACCTACACGTGCTTAATGAAACCAAATCAAACATTTCACATCTATTTTGAAGAGATGGTAAGTTATATTCTTTTAGGGAAGTTTCGTAAGAATCAATCCTTATGTAACGACGGTAATTAAGTGATTTAACGTTTTTTTGGAGCTTTTCTATTCTATTGATATGTACCTGAAAATATGGATTCCATACAACACTGCCGAAGTGTAAAATAGACCTGACAAAAGCGTATCGTAAAATTTTAAGTGTACTAATTTTATTAAATGGTTTATTGATTCTAAATATAATATACTAATCTGCGAAATGCAGAGTAGTGGTCTATGTGAAGATTAAATGATAATTTTGAGTCCATTATAGATCTCTAATGTGATTCACTCTCTTAGTATACTTGTGTTTTAATTTATAATCGTAATCGATAATATGAGTTATATGCGTGTATATTTTTATTTATTCTTTATTGTACAAAGAAAAGACACATGAAACACGTTACAATGGACATATACAAAGGTGATATACATATAATTATATACACGCATAAAACTTATTGTTGATTATGTTACTTTTACTAATATTAAGAAATAGTTGGTTGGACTCGCAATACTTTTGTAGAGATTTTAAATCTTCTCGCAATTGGAAGCACTCATTAGGTGATTTAATCACTTCAAAAAAATTTTGAATCGTCAGCATAAAGAAGATGTTGACTATTTTTGAGGCAATTACCAATATCGTTGACATAGAAAGAAAAAAGCAATGGTGCGATATTCGAACCCTGAGGTATACCTGGAAGCACTGGAAAAAACCGTGAGCAGTATCTCTTTACAAAGACAGCTTGACTCCTGTTTGTGATGTACGATTTGATCCATCTTAGAAGGTTGCCATGCACACCGGCTCTTGTTAGATTTTCGATAAATAAATCATGGTTTATTTTATCAAGAGCCCTGGAAAAGTCAGTGTACGCGACATCCACCTGTAAATTCTCATTGAGCGCTTGCGATAGGTGCTCCACAAAAGTACACACATTTGTATCAACGCTACGTTTTTTAAAGAAGAGACTTCTAACAGTACGTTGGTTCCCTTTTATTTTAACTGAAAACCGAATTTTAAAATCTTCGTTGAGTAAGAAATTGCAGTTATCACAATTTTCAGAACTTTAATTACTTTTCAAAAATTCTAAATAAAAAATTTTGCGTAGGGTCATTCTCAGTGTGCGATATATGTATACACATAAATAGCCTTTACCATCCATTCAGGTTTTGGATTATCTACTTATCTACTTTTACAATATTGTATGTACAACATTTACACATTTATAATACAGAATCTATGAAATATTTTTTTTTATTTGCTACCTTAGCGGAGTGCAGAGTAACGTTTAGAAGGGTTGGATGGTTGTCTATAACGATGAATTCAACTTCCTGTGGCAAAAAACCATCCGCTGACGCCTGGAACAGAAAAAACGAAAATTATTTTTTTGCGTTTAAAGGTCTATCCACACATATTCGGGCTGTGCCCGGGCCGTGGCCGGAACGTGGACGGGCCGTGCTCCGTCTGGGGCTCAAAAACATATCGTTGTGTATATTTTGTATGAACTCGTTCACACATGTCCGTGTCCGGGCCGGGGCCGGGACGGGCCCGTAGTTCATACAAACTAGTACGCTTCGTCCACGTCCCGGGCCCGGCCCGGACATGTGTGGATAGTACTTTATACCTCCATGGTTTTATTGGTTTTATCATAAGCAATGGTCGGAAAAAGGTTCCACATATATACGATACATACGTAGATAGATATAGCTATAAGGAGCGACATAAAGTTGTTAAAACCACCAAATATTAATTAATTACTTTTTCGAATTAGGGATTCCGGAAATGGTTTTACTGCCTCGTAGGATAAAACTACTGACCTAAGAAGTCGAAGTTGAATTTTAAAGTAATTCTAAAGTGCCATGTAGATGTCTGACTTTTTACCAAAGCAGAGAATAGAAAAGAAACGAGAATGGTCACTCTCCGTCCTTCCTTAGCTTTATTAGACTCCATAGCTTACTTGCCGTTCCGTCAATTTGCGAAGTGCGCTGCGGTGCAGAATCTAAAGGGAGAGGCGGAGAGTGTCCATTCTCGTTAATTTTTTATTCTCTGCTTTAGTAAAAGGTCGGTAATTGAAAAAGTAATCAATTCATATTTGGTGGTAACCTATGTCGGTCTTTGTAGCTATATCTATCCATGTATCTATATTATGTGGAACAGCTTTTTCCGACCATTGATAATAAGTCACTTCTATCTAACCATATTGTTTTTTTTTATAAATGGCGGGATTTTGTAATATTATTAATTAGTTAGTATTAATAAGTATTATTCCAATTGAATTTCTTAATTATTTGTCACCTGTTTAAGCTGATGGCTCTATAGTCCATAGCCAATGCTCATTAAATAAATAATAATAATATTTTTTTTATATTCATAGATAACTTATTGCTTATGCTACAACGTTGTTATAAAAAGTTATCACATTTATGTTCGTGTCCTCACCTCAAGTCGATATGTTCCCGGAAGCAGAATACGCCAAAACTCTCCGTACTTGGTTGTGCGATAGCTTACGTCACGTCCTTTCACCTTGATGCTGGCGCGTTCTACCGGGTTGCCATTCTCGTCCATCACAAATCCGTGTGCTCCGCGGTGAGCTTCGGCCAAGTATTTTATCAGAGACTGTTAACAAAAATGTTATTTTTTCCTACGGTGAGTAAGTACACATACAAAGTAACTTTCAACATTTTCATATATATATGAGCAGATCAGACATGAAAGTTGTTATCATCCTATCTTTAAAATGCTACTTATTTAATCTCCTTTTCGATATCGTGATACAATTTGGTACCTACAAAATGATATCACTTGAAGGGTAACACCGATTGGTATCGGACCTGCCTCGTCCAACGCTCCAGTTAAATCATTCGAAAAGACAACAAAATGTGTTCACACTGGCTGTTATGTGTCGTGATTACTAGTCTGGCCATTATTGGGACAAAAGGTGAAGTACCACGAGTCGCGATCGCAATCCTGCGTTCAGCAAACGTAACTGGGCATGTATTATTTACTGAGACTGACAATGGCCTTCATATAACTGGAATGATAACTGGACTTGATGTGGGATCATACGGCTTTCATGTACATGAATCTGGAGACGTTAGTACGTGTGACACGACTGGAGGTCATTTCGACACGGAAGGGAACAATCATGGTGGTATAGACCACGATGTACGACATATAGGAGATTTTGGAAATATAGTGTTTGAAGGTGATGGCACCCCTACGGCGAGATTAGACTTTTTCGACAAAATTGCCTCCCTTCGTGGTGCAAACAGCATCTTAGGTAGAGCTCTGGTTCTTCACGAGGGCGAGGACGATTTGGGATTGACGGATCACCCGCAGTCCCTTGTAACAGGTAATGCTGGTCCTAGAGTGGCTTGCGGCGTCATAGGAATTAAATATCCCATAACTCCTTGGAATTCGGCTGCATCACCAGATTCTTCTATTATAGTTTTGGTGGCTTCTTTAATTGTGTTTTTATAAACAAGTGTTTTAACATATTGGAATTTTACTTTTTGCCTTAGTCACTTATTTATTTTGTCTGCTACTTGATTACAGATAAATAGAAAATGTCATTCAAATGTTTTAATTAATTGTGCACCTACCTGTTTGTTATCTTGCCAATACTTTTGAAGTTCGTGTGCCGGGGGAAACTTGCAGCATGATATTTCTAATGTAATTTCCATGCATCCATGCCATAGGTAGTTATAATCTTGCATGCCACCTGCAAGGCAAAAAATCATTGTTGCAAAAAAAAAATTCAGTAAGCTAAGCCTAGCTGTAATACAATACGTACACCACGTATACGTTATACGTAATACACGTAAGACGCGAACGAAGTAACGTATAACACATTATCTCTAATATCTTTCAATTTTAAATCCACTTTTTAGTTGTGACAGAGTAGGTACCTATATGTTATTGTTATTACTTAAGTTTATCAATCTTTATAAATTATTAAATTATTATGTCTTACCTGTTAGGGGATACCAAGCAGCACCGTTTGTAATACCATTTTCGAATCGCGGAGAACCACTCTTGCAAGAGACGCCACGTGACATCTTGGCGTGGTTATTCGAGTACACCAGAGATAGATGGCGGAATACATCGTCATCTGGCGCGATCGACGGCGTGTGCCCGTAGCTTTGGAAGACTGCATTTAGGGGATATGTGGGAGGGAAAACAAATCTTATTAAATAATGTTTAGTGCAACATTTCACAATGTGTTAAAAGACTTCACTACGGGGTTCCTAAGTGTGCTTACAAAAACGCTAATGTGCCCCTTTACCTACCCAATTGATACTACAACTAAATTTTCTTCTCCCGCAATGGTGATTTTCATTGTAATTGTCCAAGTGATCATTAAACTGACTTTTGACTGCCTCTGTGGCCGAACGGTTACCATGCCGGACTGCCACGCAGAGGTCCCAGGTTCGATTCCCGGGCCGGGAGAAATATTTATATGGCCTACATTTATTTCTCTCGTGAGTTTGGGTGTAATGTGTGGTTGTCTATGTATGTGTCCATAGCACCCGCGACACAGGATTTCCCTAGTACGGGGCTATGTTGAGTGTGCGTTATTATTATTATTATTATCAAAACGAAGTCAGTTCATAATTATATTAAATTTTACGAAAAGGTATCACAGACATATAATATAAAAGTCAATGTCATAAAAATAAAAGTCGATTCTATTTGTGACAATGTTTATGTAGGTATACAATGTAATGTGTAATTAATTAGGGCAGCTTTTAAATGTCACATTAGGCGTCACATGATTACATGTTGTATATACTCTTCGTTTATACGTAAATTACAGAAATGGCCAAATGTGCGAAACAGTATTTTGTATTCTAGGGTCGGCGGACTAACGCACGTAAGTCAAAAAAGTGCGTCATTTGTTAATATATAATAGCATATTTTTTGTGTTGTTTATAGTGTTGAAAGATGAGAAGAGAATGATAAATTTGAAAAAGACGCCTCTAGAATAAAGTAAATTTAGGAAGTAACAAATGAATTTGACTTATGTGCTTTAGCCGGTAGACTATTAATTTAAATGAATGATGTTGCATTTTGATTTATGTGCTATAGTCCGCCGACCCTAGCATTATCAACTAGGTATTGTACTTATCGCATTTAAACACTTAAATGAATGTTAATTAATGTGACCACCTATAATTATATACTACAATCTGCATGGTAGAAAATTATATTGAAGAATAATTAATAATGAAAAAAATCATGATTATTGTAATATAGGTATAGTGGTGCATAGAGTTACTTGTAATAGGACCGACCATGTAATCTGTGGCCATACAAAAATGTTTGGTGTGATTACGTTTTTTTTTCTAAAAGAAGAAAATAAATATTGAAATAATAGAACAGTATATACGTCACCGGAACATAGTACTGACGATCGGCATATTCCTTTTGGTAAGCGTGGAAAAATTATTCAAATTATGCAAATAATTTTCATGCGTCAAGTCTTTAAACTTTTTTTTCTTATTTTACATAATTACTTTTATTTTCCAGTTCTGAAATCTTCCTAATTTGTACTTATATGTATACATATATATAATGTTTCAGAAAACGGTTACACCAAGAAAAGTTTCCAAATACAAAATTAAAACTTGAAAAAGGACTGGCAAATCATGAAAGTTATCTTTTATTTTGTACTCACAATGATTTTTTTTTATAACATCAAGTGGCGGGACAAACAAGTCGTGCGCCTGATGGTAAGCTACACGTCTGTTCATAACAGTTACAGTACCACTCAGAGCTTTAAATTACAAAGATCTGAGAGGCGCTACCACTGTGCCCATCACCCTGAGACATAAGTTGACAAGTCCTATGTGCCTGTAATTTCACCAGCACCCTTACCCTTCAAAACCGGTACACAGTAATGCTGACATTACTGCTTGGCAGCATAAATAAGTAAGGTGGCAGTACTACCCTGAACGAATTCTTTCACAAGGAGCTCTACTGCTACTGCCACATACGGCTTTCTCATTGTACATATTTATTGCAAAAGTACACACTAGTAACAGCATATATTAGAATTGGTACTTACTAGCACTGGGAGTGTTATCGAAGGGATAGGATGCTACAAGCGCACCTCCATGTAGTGAACCAGATAACACAAACTGTATCTTGCTGATCCACTCTTTGACGGCCTCGGTCTCGGGCTGAGGCTGCTTCGTATTCGCTTTGAAATAGTCTGGGAAGTTGCGATTCAGATCGTAGCGACGAGAATTATATCTGGAAATTATTGTGCGGTATGTTGTCCGCATTTTTAAGTCGGTACGAATTGTTTGTCAACAGTTCGGGCATCAAGTGTGCCGTCAGATGAAAATTGCTAATGTTTGGGACATCTCGAAGAATGAAGAAACGTACTAAAAGTTGTACGCATTGCGCGACCATGTAAGGAAAAGAATGTACTTTCTCGACCCACCCGTCGATATTCCGTTCTTTTTTCTTTTTGCACAAGTATTTTATTTCTACATATTATAGGTACAAATATAGGTTTTAATTACGGTTTATAGTTTTTATTAGCTATGACGTGGTAACAATAGCGGCTTAACGTTCTGTTCAGTCTACAGTAGTAAGTAAGATAAAGGATCTAAAACTAAAGCGTTACTATAACATCGTCATGATGGCTGACTGGCAAACCGAAACCAAAAAATACAAATGTAGTGTCTTAAAAAATATAAAACTAGGTACTTTTTTTACTAGAACGGATAAAAATAGATTATTGCAAGAAGACGTTTCAAGTGTATTGGACACGTGAGTTAAGAGTTAATTAATAATAAATTGATACTGTATTAGCGTTTGTTAATTTATTATATTTAGTGCATATGTTATTAAAACATTCATAATTTGTTTCGAACATACCTACAGAAACTTTGGCTACTGGAAATTTAAAAAATACTTTCCGACTCGTCAAAACAAAATAAAGGCCACAATGGGGCACAGGTGTTTTTGCGTTTTAACGCTGATTTATGTTGACAAAACTGATTTCAATGAATGTCATTATAAGTCATTATAATGTCATTATGAGTTAAGTGGTTAAGTTATATGATAAGTAACAAAATGTGTATTGTAGCTTAAAATTGTGTAACTTATTGGATTTGGACTGGCACGCTTGTCACTGATCAAACCATACATAATCATTTACATGAAGACCAACAACGATTAAAAATGCTAGTAATCCAAACCAAATGGAATGGATCGCATTGTGCAAACCGTTGAAGGTTTACACGTCAACACCTTGAAAGAGGCATGAAGGAATGTCATAACGTGCTCTTCACAGATGGATGTTCTTAATTCTAAGTGAAGTTGTAGTGACGAACGACGTGTAAATGCAGGAAGCCAAAAGTTCGGGTTTTACCATGGGCTGCTAATAACTCGGACCAAAATCCAATTGAACACCTTTGGGACCAGCTCAGGCGCCTCATTGAGATCATGCCTAGCAGACTCCAAAGATTTGTTTAGAATAGAGGAAGAATATGCCCAATATTAAAAAAGAAAAAATTTGTACACTTTGTACAAATTTGTACAGTCTTCGTTTTTCTTGCTAAATGTCTTACGAAAACAAAACGCAAATAATTATTATACCGGAAATCTTAATTTATTCATTAACTAAGTACCTGTTAAATCACATTAAACTTAATTTGATTTAATGAAAAAATAGGTATATAGATACATGATAAATAACTTGCTTTATTAAATTAAAAACCCCTGGCACTGTAATTAACACAAAAGTATTTTTCCGAAAAGTGGTGGTGGCCCTTATTTTGTTTCTGGTTACTACCAAATATATAAGGTATACTGACGGATAATAATACAACCTTTCGAGCAACTGTTTTTTTTTTTCTTATTATTGCTTACCTTCCATGCACAGTATCACATTGTCCTTCCCGAGAAATTGCGTAGCCGTCAGGGTTCATGGAAGGCATAAGGTGGATCCTAGTGTTGTCGAGCAACCATTTGATATATAGATCCGAGTCATATGAGGTGACTAGGTGCTGTAAGTAGAAATATGCTTCATCATATCAACCCATTTATAGGTCCCACTGCTGGACACGGGTCTCCTCTCAGGCGAGGTCCCCGCCACACTGGCCCAATGCGGGTTGGGGATTTCACACGTTTTCCGAGAGTTGTGAACTTTCAACGAAAAGCTCATGGTAAATTTCAACTAAATTCCGAGAAACTCGAGGTGCGAGCCCGGATTCGTATCCACAAAAAAAAAATCGAAAAAATGCTTAGCCAATATAAAACTAAAATTAATAACGCCAAGATTCCAGCAAATGAGTACTAAAGCGAAATTTAAAAAAAAAATCTTTATTTCGTACTTGAATAAGATGCAGGAGTAGTTCTCTACCAACAGCTTCATTTCCGTGGATGTTGGCAACATACTTGACGTCAGGTTTGCCAATCATGTGCTCATAGGGAGATGCGGACACCACCATTACCCAAAGCTCTCGACCTGTTAAATAAAAGAAAAAACAAATGGGATTGTTTTTTATTGTCATTACATAAAGGAAAGACGACTCATCATTACACTAGTGAGATTTACAGTAAATACGGAACTACTTTCCGACGCGTTCTCTATCAATGATGCTGGTTCATCTAATCTTCTGGGTGATCAGTAAAATGAGTCAGATTGTGTGAGTTTGCATCATTTCATTCGTAGATATAGGAAGATGAATAAAATTAATCCATGACTACACGCAATAAACAATAGAAAACGAATGCTTTTCAATGCATTAATTAGGAAACTATAAGTAGGCCAACTTCATTCACACGCTACATTCTGTGACTGTATTGGTAAAAAGTGAAATAACACTTTTTTGAACTGTGTCAACCTAGTGGGTATTCGCAACGATTTATTGTAAAAAAAATATTTTAGCTTTAATTTCATCAGTGAATTGTCACAGATTTTATTTTACAAACAAATTTAAATTAGGTTAGAAAAAATAAAATGACCTTTGTCTCCACGAAACTAATTTCTTGGGTCGAAGACTTCTGGATCAACTTTCAAAGAATTGCTGCGGACCGGACCATTATAACACAACAATGTACCTTGTACTGATTTCCCAATGGAATATAGCGCAGTGAGGGCCGGATAGCGAGCTGAGACTGCTCGCAGATATCGGGTCATCTGATCGTGGTCATGGTACCGGAATTCTAGATCAGCCCCACCGTTGTCTCGCGGCTCTTTTCCGCTGTAATTCGTCGACACCTCAACAGCTAAAAAAAACAAGAATGAGTTTTGTTTAGCTGTTTACCTACTGGCAAAATACAGCTTTAAGTAGGTACCGTCAGCCTCGATCAAGGGAATTAATAACTTTTTTATTACACATATATTCAAAGATTTTAAAGAAATTTCTTAAAGCGGTACTTACTTAACATTTCTTGATACTTATTAATGTTGTTATAAACTTTTCAAGTATAACTATATTATAATAGTAGAAATAACTATTGCGTGGATTAGCAATATAGATATCATACTTACAAGGCACGAAATTAGGGTCGTAAGATAATTGTGAGTAGACTGTTCCCAAAATTGATGTTATAAATAAAACCCTGGCCATACTGCATATATTCCCGGTCATCTGCAAATTAAATGTAACAAAAACATCAAAACAACTTTTCTTTAGAATTTTTACGTAAATAAACAAATTTCTCTAACCCGTAACGTAAAGATCGCAATGGAGAGGCTATGTTATTCGCTAATGGATTTACGCTAACATTGTCAATCTATCATTACTCGAAGTTGCAAAGACGGAGTTCAGGTGGCGATTGGTAGCGATTAGGAGCTTTCTGTTAGCGTTATTTGTGATCACTGTGTTTGGTTTGGATGCTAGCGCTCCAGTTGCAGGCAACCGGTCGCACTGCGTGAAGGTCACTGGGTCAGTGGACCAACCATTCGCACGGTGCACCCCACTTGGCATACCAAAATAGCGGTTGGTAGCAGCCAGTGGAAGAATATTATACTTAGTATGTGAATCCTAAGTAGTTACAATTCATATCATCCTCATCGACAGCCTGATTTGAATGAATGATAGAATGAAATATTCTTTATTGCATATTAAAATTACAATGACAACACAGAACAGTAACGTAATTATCACAAAGTAAGCCAATGTACAACAGGCGGCCTTATTGATAAGTAGCTATTTCTTCCAGGCAACCTTAGGATAGAAATTTAAGAGTTGGAAAGGGGGGTGCAGTCAAAGAATATCTTGTAATAAGAGCGTTTTAAATAAATACACTACTCATCAATAAAGTAAACATATAAATAATAATAATAAATACATACATTATTAGAACGTATACATAAATATTAATATGTAGATAATAATAATGTTACCCATATATACTTTTATAGGACAATAAAATAAATTATAAAAAGTAATAATAAATAAAATAACACAGGAAGATTATACACAAAGCAAATAAAAAAAAAAGGAAATAAAATTAAGGGAAGAGAGGGGAAAAATAACCTAAATTAGTATTAAGGTAATGTTCCTTAACACGTCGTTTGAAGTAATCAAGAGAAGGGGATCGTCGAATTGATTGAGAGAGAGAATTCCATACCCGGATAGCAGATACAGTAAACGAGTTGGAGTAAAAATCGGAGGCATGAGAGTATGAGTGTATCAGAAGACCGAAGAGGACGGCAGAGCGTAGAGGAGTGAAAAGTAAAACGTTCTTTAAGGTAAAGAGGCGTAAAGGGATAGAATAAAGTAGAGTAAAGAAGGGAAAGTGTGTGAAGGTCTCTACGTCGATGGATGGGCAGCCACTTAAGTTGCGCGCGAAATTGGAAAACATGGTCGATCTTACGAAGTCCGAAGATAAATCTTACACACATATTTTGGAGCCGTTCCAATTTATTAAGTAGGGTGACTGTCAAATCCGGACAACACATATCTGCATAGTCCAGTATCGGATGCAGGATGCTCTGAGCCAGCGCAATTTTAGTTTTAATAGGCAAAAATTTAAAAAAAAAGCAAACACCCTCCTGCTATCCTCAGCAACATGCGGCTTCCATATAAGACACCGATCAAAAATTACCCCCAAATTCCTGACTGTGTCCAAATACGGTATACGAACGCCATCGAAAATCACAGGTGGTAATGAATTAAGGTCAACACGAGATACATACCAAGGACTACTAATAATGATGTATTGTGTTTTCGATGGATTAACCCTTAGACCAAAAGATCGACTCCAGTCAAGAATAGATTGAAGGTCCACATTGGTGGCATTGATGGCATATGATAAGTCGTTAAGAGACGACTGGGTGTAAATTTGAACGTTATCAGCATAAATATGATAGGAAGAAGTGAGGGAATATGTAATGCAGTTAATAAATATAGAAAATAAGAGAGGAGAAAGGACACCCCCCTGTGGGACCCCGGCAGAAATACTGCACCACATAGAGAATGAATCCTCATAACGTATGCGCTGCCGACGTCCACAAAGGTAGCTTCGAAACCAATCAATAACTGCTGGAGATATGTTAAGGAAACGTAAGACTTCCCATAACAGATCAAAATCAACATCACTAAGGGCATTACTGAAATCATGCAAGGTAAGAACAGTCAATTGCTGGTTTTCCATGCCCATACGGATGTCGTCAGTGATTTTCGTGAGTGCGGTAGTCGTACTATGACCAGTGCGGAATCCGGACTGGAAAGGATTGAAAAGGTTGTTCCTGTTTAGGAAATTTGTTAACTGGTGGTGAATAAGCTTTTCTAGGACTTTGGAAAGGAAAGGAAGTATTGAAATAGGACGATAATCTGACGGGGTACTTGGTTTGGACTTTTTTGGAAGTGGGATGATATAAGCGTCCTTCTACGATGAGGGAAAAGCTTTGGTGGAGACAGATGTATTAAGGATTTTGGTAATGACGGGAGTAAGGAGATCAAGGAGATGAATGATCATGTTACGACTAACGCAATCACTACCTACATCACTGGAGGCGATAGCTAAAATGTTTTCCTTAACATCACAGTCAGTAAATTGATTAAGAATAAAGGAGGAATATTTCTCTGATTTCACACACTGCTGTGTATAGGATTAACACCCCACATTATTATTACACAGTGATCAATATATTATAGGAGCTTCTATTGTTTTTGTTATATACCTACAGTTTATAAGGAGTGCTATTCAAAGGTCTGCAAGTAAAATTCACAGCTACGATGAACACCTCCCGTTAATTGACTGTCTCTTAATCTCAATGTCAATCTCAATCTGTTCATTTACCTCCTATTTTACATAAAAAAAGTAGAGAGTTAAGAGTCCACCAGCCTAGTGCATTCGTTCTCTTAGTTTCAAATAATTCTGTATCAGCTCAATTGATTCCTTTTTATTTTTATAATGTAAAGCAGAGAATACTCCACGCTAAATTTTAAAGGTGCTTTTCCACTTCCGAGGCCAAACGAGAATTGAAATCTCGCCAGCCTATTTCCGCCAAAAATTGCCATTAATAGATATCGCGAGCACGCGTGAGCTCGCACTATGCTTGCAGATAATAAAGATTCAGTGTTATTCAATTCGTGTAGCGATAAAGACGTGGCTGAAGTAACTTATATATTATTCAATAGGTTAACGGAAGAAGAATCAGTAGCTATCGTGCGGACACACAGAAATCGTGTTGCCGTTGCTGAGTTAATAAATACTATACGCAGGCAGCAATGCGTTTCAATGTTACATCAACAAATATTTCAATTCTCGCCTCTCACATCCTCGTCAATCCAGAATATTCACCGAAATGGAAATCCACCGAATATGCGTTAGGAGATAATTGAAATTTTGTCATACAAAGACACAAGTTCAAACCCAAGTTCCATACACTCTGGACTAGCTAAAAAAGTTGACGACCATCTATCGCAGATACTGGGTTTCATTTGTATTCCCATAAAGTTACTAATTACACTGTATTTATAACTAGGTAACGTTGATTTAAGCAATATTTCTTTTTGAGGTTATGTAATAATGACCATTAATATGTTACTTTATAGTACAAAGTTATATATTATTCTGAGGTTAGTATGGTACATTAAAAGTAGTAGGTACTTAGATTCATTAGGACTGACGAATGAGATACGTTGTTAGCATTTATTTTTGAACGTAGCACTACTTAGACTTTGACATTTAATTTGAAGTCTCGTTTTACCATGATTTGTCCAATGTTGAGATAATTTTATATTGAATTTTCTGCCAACTTCGAAATTAAGAGTCAAGTTCAAGTTAAAGAACACTTACGTGTCATTGCTTAACGGTGTCACAATTTTACTATTGTAACTTTCGTTCATAATTATCTAAATGTTAACAAATCATAGCAAGCGTAAAGGAGGCTTTAAATAAAATGTCAAAATGTAAGTCGTGTTAGGATCAAAAACAAATAATAGGGGTTAAAGTATGAAATTGCCGATTTGTACTGAAAATCTAAATTGTTTATTTTTTAAATTTTTAACAAATTTATTTAATCAAAATAGTTGCCATTATTATCTATACATTGCTGCCATCTAATGGGAAGGTTATTAATGCCTTTGCGATAGAACTCCGACGATCTAGACTGCACAAACTGTGTGAAAGCATTTTGTACTGCCTCCTGGGAAGAAAACTTCTTGTCACGTAGATAATTGTCCAAATCACGAAAAAAATGGTAGTCCGTTGGAGCAAGGTCTGGTGAATACGGAGGATGACGAATGGTTTCTAACTGCAGTTCATGAAGGGTCAAAATGGTTTCTCGTGCTGTGTGAGGTCTCGCGTTGTCGTGGAGCAATAATGGTGAAGATCGATTCATGAGTCGGGGCTGTTTTACTGCTAGTTTTGTCAACATGGTTCGGAGTTCGGCACAATAGACATCTGCCGTTATTGCTTGACCAGATCGGAGAAAACTATAGTGAATAACACCATGCTGAGACCACCAAACAGTTACCATTACCTTTTTATTGGTAAGTTTTGCTTTAGGACACTGTTGTGGCATTTGACCTGGGGTCAGCCATTGCATTTTTCTTTTCCGGTTATCATAAAGAATCCACTTTTCATCACATGTTACAATTCGATCCAATATTCCTTCATTTCTGTACCGGTTCAACAAGGCAACACAAGTTTCAACACGCGTTTCTTTCTGCAGATCAGTCAAATCATGAGGCACCCATTTTTCGTATTTTTTTATTTTATTGATTTGACGCAAGTGTGTCAATATTGTGGGTAAGGTAACGTTAAACCATGCCGCTAATTCCTGGGTAGTTTGACTAGGATCGGCTTCCACTATATCTCTTAATTCATCGTTATTCACCTGTGTGGGCGGCCTTCCTCGTGACTCGTTCTTTAAGTCGAAATTTCCATCACGAAAGCGTTTAAACCAAAATCGCACGGTGCGTTCATTAGTAGACCCCTCTCCAAACGCAGCATTGATATTGCGGGCTGTTTCTGCCGCGTTAGTTCCGCGTCGGAACTCGTATTCAAAAATCACTCGAATTTTCGCAGTATCCATCTTTCTTGTCTAAATTGAATAACAAAAACAATTGAAAGTCGATATTCAAATGTTTCAAATTTAAAAAAAAAATCACAGAAACCATTTGAAAAAAGTTTC